ACATAATCAAATAGAGGATGAACATCTCATTTTAAAATATAAAAAATCTAAAATATAATTAGAATAATTATCGAGTTCCAACAAAATAAATAATTTATTATCTTTATAAAAAAAATTATATTATTAAACCAAATATAAATTAGTTCGTTATTGTACATAAATTAAATTATAAAAAATTGAATTAAAAAATTACACAAAAAATGAGGAATTTTAAATAGTTAATTTGATATTAATATCGATATATTTTTGTCAAAATTTTATGATATCTTCAAACATATATTTTATTCAAAAATAAAAACATAATCGCTTTCTCAAAATCAAATAAAGCCATATTATAACATCGATTGAAATAAAGAATAAAATGAAATATTAAAATCACGATGTATCTCACTGCATTGCGCATTACACTTCTAGTATTTATTAATATAGTAATAATTTATTTTATTTAATATTTATTAATATAATACTTATTATTTTTATTTAATATTTATTAAGAATTAACGTTGATTAATATTTATTTATTATTATTAATAATAAATAATAATAATTAATCTTAATGAGTGTTATAACTGAAAAAAGTAACAATAAACTCTCAAAATGTTACTCAAGTAGCTCTTCAATAAGCTAACTTATGATCATTCAAACATATACTCAAAAAAATAAGATATCTTATTTTTACCAAACAACTTTTAAGAGTATTTTAACATATATTTTATAATTTTTTAAAAATAAATAGTAAAAAAGATTATTCAATTTTCACTAATCTTAAATTTAGAAATTTCAACATTAATTATACTAGAAACGTACTCGTGCAATACAGCGAGATACATCGTGTTTTTAATATTTTATTTTATTTTATTATTTATCTCAGTCGATGTTATAATATGRCTTTATGTGCTTTTGAGAAAGCGATGATGTTTTTATTTTTTAATAAAATATATATTTGAAGATATCATAAAAATTTGACAAAAATATATCGATATTAGTATCAAATTAACTATTTGAAATTYCTCATTTTTTTGTGTAATTTTTTAATTCAATTTTTTTTATAATTTAATTTAA